AAGTGAATTGATATCTAAACACAAGAAGCCGTATGCATATTTAGCATGCAAATACTTTAAAGAATTTTATATATTTAAGGATCTCATCAAAAAACTTGCTCTATGGGAAACATGCACAATGCCGCCATTTCAAAGATGTTGGATGCGACATCAGCCAGTTGACCGTTGACTGTAAGTTCAGTAAATAAGGAAAAATAAATAAATATTCACTTTACATACCGTTTGAATATGTACTGTTATAAATAGTTTTGACTTGTTTTGGACATGCTAAAACTGCCTTGTCATACCAAATCATTCCATACCAGTCTGCAGGAAGTTCTTGATGAACAAACTTCCTCCCTGCATCAAACTATTTGTGCACAGTGATCACATTTTACCCTTTTTATCAAACATTAGCAACACCTTCAAGCACTATAACCAAACTGCCATATTGTAAAATACCAGTCTATTGACAGATAAATGGTCATTTAGATCATCAATGAGCAGAATTAAATGACTTGTAATGCATTTTTGCTTTTTGAGAATTTGGAACCACTTCTAAATGTATTATAAGGTTAAATAAAGGTTGAATTAAGGACACCACTGTGCTACCCTACACTTCTAGCCTGTATATTAACTTATTTATGGTCAGCTGACACTGGTTCTGTAAGGGAAGAACCAACTGCTGACGTCTGTTCATTACACAGATACAGCACAAGCACTGTTTCTGTTAAACAAGATTAAATGTTCTGTGCTGGTGTGTGACGTACAGGAAAACAGACTGCTGCACACATACAACAAACTGCAGCGGCAAACCTGGACGTATACTACTGTAATAAATTGTGTCATGTTGTGTTTTATGCTTTATTTAAAGCACTTAGAAGACATTTTTCCTATGTGGATGAAAAGTGTTATAAAATGAACTTGACTCGAACAAGCCTTTAAATTGAGTGATAATTGGCTATGTATGTGGTAATGTAAAGTTTTTAAATATACTGCAAGACTTATTCAGAGACAGTGGAATCATGATCTCAAAACACCATGTCTGAAAAATGATGAATATAAACACTGAGTTCAATCTGCGAGGATGATTAGAATTGAAGATGAGCTGCTGTCCAGAGTGTGTGTGTGTGTGTGTGTGTGTGTGTGTGTGTGTGTGTGTGTGTGTGTGTGTGTGTGTGTGTGTGTGTGTGACCTAGGGGTTGGGTGGATTACCCTTTTTCCACGAGACACACAGACCCACTGGTCATGACATGACATTTCACCACAGAAACACCATTCACTCGAGTGTGGAAGAGTGGGCGCAAGTGTGTGTGTGTGTGTGTGTGTGTGTGTGTGTGTGTGTGTGATAGTTAAATACTGTCCAGTATTACATCTAATTTCCCTGTTTGACCATCCTGAATCAGTTTATCAGCTGTCAGTCTATCCGTCTCTGTTTACACTCAAGCTTATTAAACTTCTCTTTCCCCGGACATTAGAGACTGGTACAGCCGGGAATCTTACTGAGAAATCTCTCCTGGGAGACACTGTGACTTGAGTGAACTGAAATAAATCACATTTAGCCACTTCTTGTTTTAGTCAAAGCTAATGTCAATTGCCTTTCTTACATTATAGGAAGGTAAAGAAAAAGAGAAAGAAACGTCCAGCTCATCAAAGTCATATTCGTCCACCAGAAAGTGCAGACACTTTTTTTTTTCACTGTAAACTGTCCATATTTGTCCTGACCACTAGTTATAGTTCCGTTTCATTTAAACTACCAGCTTTAGTAAGTTTACTGTATTCTCATTTCTCAAACATATCTTAGACTTTTCAGGTCCAGTATTGTAGTTAATCCATTGCTGTAAAATAAGTACAACTCAGTGATCAACATGAAGAGCCACCAACTCTGACAATAATCTTATATTTTTCCAATGGTAAACCAGTCATTTAATATAGCAGTCCCATACATTTCTCCCAAAGGACACATCTCTTATATAGATGTAATTACGGTTGGCATGTGGGAAACCACCATGCAGGAGCCAGCGTGCCATTCGGTCTGGAGCCACAGTTTTGGACACCACAGGTCACAACCTCTGCTCCAGCTCTGTATGGGCTACATTGTGCATCCACTTAACACAAACACACTGCCATGAGGAATGAGGACCTGTGTTAAGGGCATGTCATGGAAAAGTGAAGGGTCATGCATTACTGCAGAATCTGCAAGCAGTGCATGTCTCTCTCTCTCTCACACAGACTAAGTGGGCAGAGAAGAAGAATAGCGCAATTCTGTGATAGTATGCCGAGTTTGAAGACATGACACAAACCAGCTGTATTAGCAAGACTGTCTTAAGTACTGTATGTGCGTGTGTGCGTGAGAGATATCAAGTGGGTCAGTGTGAGTGAGAGCCACTTGAAGTCCAGAGCAGGCCAGTATTTAATAGTCATAGACCTGAAGAGTGACCTAATTGTTAAAGGCCCAGACATGATAATGCTGAATGCCTCTGGTTTTTAACTCGAATCTAATGCCCAGTCTAGACCTAATTATCTCAGTCTGCAGGCAAAGGAAATCCTTCAAAACAAATTGAAATCTAAACTGGATTGCATTATTTTATTTAGTGCTGTTTAAACTCTAGGATGAAGTTAAAATGGGTCACAGGGTAGGGGTTGAGATGGGTTCATGTGATTCCCTGCTTGAGGTACACCATAACCATGTGCCTGCTGCTCTTCTACTTCTGTATATTAAGATGTTTTTTTGTTTATTCAATCCCACATTTGGCATTCCTTAAATGCAACTCATTTTAAGACATCAAAAGCTAATAATACTATCTGCAACAGGGGGAAAACTGGACACCTATTGTTAAAGCAATGTAGGCTAAACCCGACAACTGTCAGACGGGGATTAAGCCACAAACTGGTTTACATGCAAATACTCCCAAAACGTGTGCACCCGCACTCAGCAACATTTCGTTTGATTTAGGTTTCCTAGTTGTAACTTGTTAGGAAAGCCAATTTAACAGAAATAAATCAAACTTTACATAAATATATATATATATAGTCTCTGCTTAATTCGGCACAAGTCATCAGAAATGACAAGCTTTTTCACCGGCACTGTGAACTCCATGGTGGATTTTGTTTGGCGAACAGGTGAAGGAACTTTAAAAGTGAGGATTTCATTTAAATAATGGCGATTAATTATACTGTATATATGCCGAACTAAAGTATAACCAGTTAAAAGTTGGAAATTGGCTTCAATTTTGCATTACATATTTGCTTTTGCTAGTAAACAAAGTAATATAAAGTTGACATATTTGTGAAAGAAGTTCTGAATGACGCCCCCTTCCAAATGAGAAACCCTGACTATAGAGTAGGTATACTACTCCACGAGAAACAAACAGCTTACAGATGTGTTATCCTGACAATATGCATGCCAGTAAATTATTGTTACCTTGTTCACTGTGACTTTTCCTGAGGGTTTTTTGAAGAAAGATGTCCTGGCCGTGAAAAAGTACTCTTCGGAGTCCTCCTCCAAGCTGCTGTAGCCACTGCTCATCGTGCTATTCCACGTCATTTGCGGAGAAAATCCCTCGTCTAAAACACGGCTGCATACAAAAAACCCAAACTGACAAGTTGTTAGCTTTAAACCAACTCCGAACAAGCTAAATATGAAGACACGCGCCTGTTCATTAGTTGGTGGCTTCCTCTTTGAAAATCCTCTCAACGGAATCCTCTTCTCCCGACACTGGCTTTACTCCCCCGGCATGGCACGACACTCACTCAAAAGTTACTCTTTTTAGAAACAAAACTCAACTATGACGTGTCACCAAAAAAAGGGGTCCAATAGCTTTTAACAACTTGTGAATTTCGACGAGATAATGAAGAAAATCCGGCGCGTAACACGTTAACCGACGCCTCTCCCTGTACTATTGAATGTATGGTCGAATTTATCTGTGTGACAGCGAGGCTACAGTAAGGCTCCGCCCAATAAGAGCCGCCAGCCAATCAGATGTATGAGACTTAATGACACCACGCCCAATGCATCTCAACAGCCAATCAGCGCCAGTTTGTGTCTATGTGTGGATTTACTAATGGAGAATACAGAAAAAAGTTAAACGTTTCTCAAATCTAACATATATAATATTAGTTTCTGGACTTTGTATTTCCATCAGTTAGATTTCCACTGCCTTACTTTTCCCTTTCATCAAATTAGGAGGAAACTAGTGCATTTCTCTCAAGCACCCCTGCTGAAAAAAACAGTTTAGACCAATTTAGCTGGTCAAGCCAGTAGATATTAAGCTGGAATGGTTGGCTGGTTTAGAGGGGTTTTGGACACTTTAGCTGGCCAGGATGGCTGGTTTAGCTGGTTTAGCTGGTGCACCAGCCAAACCAGCTAAACCAGCCATCCTGGCCAGCTAAAAGAAACAGTATAGACCAGTATAGTATGCTGGTATGCTGGGCTGGTCACCAGCATCCATCGATCACCAGCATATGTTTAATTAATGTATTAAATATACCATGCTGGAAGCTTACCAGGATTCCAGGTGACCAGCATACATTGTTTAAATACTGGTATGATTATTTAAACCAGAGAACATAAATATATTACAAAGATTCATTGTGTCATGTATTCTGGTATCTACCAAAATAAAGACATTGTACAGTGTTCATAACAGTATTTTAATAAATAGCAATAAATAGCTAGTTAATATAATAAAATACACAGTAACAATACAATAATCAATCAATGTTTATTTATATAGCCCAATATCACAAATGTTACATTTGTCTCAGTGGACTTCACAGTTTGTACAGAATATCAGTATGACAATACAACACCCTCTGTCCTTAGACCCTCACATCGTACAAGGGAAAACTTCCAAAGAAAAACCCCAGTTTAAAGGGGAACATGGGAGAAACCTCAGGGAGAGCAACAGAGGAGGGATCCCTCTCCCAGGACGGACAGACGTGCAATAGATGCCGTGTGTAAATCTAAGAGATAATACATTTTACAATAATATATACAATATACAATAATTATACAAATAACAACCAACCTGCAAATCAACCTATACATCAACAATAAATACAGTATCTAAAACAGGTGCATTTGATTTAAAATAAAAGTAATAAATAGAATTCAATATTTAAATGGTGACAAAAACAGTAACACTATGTACAATAAGAAAAAGGCAACAAAGAAAGTGTTTTTTTTCTTCCCGTTGTGTAGCGTCCTGCCTTTCCCAATCTGGCCTGCATTTCTGTCTGTTGAAGCCACTTCTTGAAGCAAACTGAAAAGAAATGTACAGATATAAGTACACTGTAAAAATAATTGGCTAGATTGGCTGGGCGAATTGCAAACCACGCCCCGTAAAACTCTGAAAAGTGTTTGCATTAGCATTAGCCCAGTGCACCAACGGAGAGAGACTAACTTATGGCAACACAAAAGAAAACATGGGAGCGGTGGAGATGAGGAGGTGTCGGCGCTTCAGGCGATTTACTCTGAAGGCTTCAGTAGAAGCTGCTGGGAGTCCCAGTACTTGGTGTGAAAGCGCCTTATTATGTCATGTACAACCATTGGTAGATGTTACACCTGAAAGAAAGTTAAGGAAATGAGACAACACAGGAGGACAAACAATAACTTGCTTTTGGCATTGAAATGGATTAGAATCTCACTGTTTTCCTGGATGTCAGGAAGGCCACAAAGTTGTTCCCTTCAAGTCCGCAACCAGTCATAGGAGTTCAAATGCAAAGCCTGAACGATGACAAGAGCGGGAGACTTACATTTTACAATTATATTTGTAATTAATACCAGAGCAGTGTGTACATAGGCCCTGTACGACATGCAAAGAACAGATCAAATCCCCTGACAGACTTTGGTGATGTCCTCATCTGATAATATTTTATTTTTTAGCAGCGAAGTAACATTAATCAAAGTATATGTCGGACCCAACTCATTTACAGTATGTTTTGCATCTCCTCAACAATGGTCTGTATCATTGAGTAGAAAAAAACTGTCCCTACAATTTCAGGTAGATTAACACACATTTGATAGAAAGGTATGTGAAGCACCCTCTTTGTATTAAGCGAGCTGCCACAGAAAGTACAGCTTAACATGCTAACTTTTGGTAGAGAGCTACAGTTAGCTAACTTCATGTTCAACACAAAACCTCTAACGTGCATTACATTGACGATTTTAAACAAAACTTAACTCTCTCAACTTGTAAGATAACGTTAAATTAACTTAACCTTAAATAACTACATCACGATTTTCAGGGGAACCACAAACTGCAGAAAACGTTAGCTGCTAACTGCTATCTCTTGTTACGGGAAGTAACAACAGCCTCCTAGCTAAGTTAACATTAACGTAACGTTGTAAGAAAGCAAAACAAACCTTCGAGAAAGCTTTTACTCTCAGACTGGGTGGAATTGTGTAGTGTTGCTTACCTCCAGAAGGACTTTTAGCGCGTTTCCAGACAGACCTGTCAGAGCGGTTCCTATCAGAAGAGCAGCCGCTGGGCGGAGTAAACGCTCAACTGATCTTCACTCCCCGACCGTTAGTGCCAGTCAAACCCATGTTTTATACCGCTTTGTTTCAACCACTGCCGTCTCGCCGTTCCCCCGTGTCCCGCCCTCTCTGTCTGTCTGTGTCTGTTTCAGTTTCGCCAGCAGGACTGCTGGTAGATCAGCATGCCATACATACCAGCTTCACCAGCATAGACCAGTTTAACTACCAGCTAGCTGGTTAAACTGGTCTATCACGCTGTTTTTCTCAGCAGGGACAATAGTAAAATATCTATCGGTATTTCTTATTTATTTCTTAACAGCAGAAAAAGACTCATAATGCCATATGAAAACAGACTAGAAAGAGCATGAATTTATATTCTTTAACTTGGAAATATGAGTTTGGCAAAACAATCCCAAACATGGATTTACCTGGCATGAAGAAACACAATAAAGACTGTATACTACTGAAAACTCCAAAGTCCAACCTTTACTTTTTATAACACAATACCAGATTTATTTCAGCATGTTTCCTTTAATGCTTAAACACAGAGAGCAGATTCAAGATTGCAGCCTCCCTGCACTTCCTGCTGACATTTGAAGCCCAGAGGCAAAATGAGAGGTTTCTTTCTCCTCACCCTCAAACCTCAGCAAACTGAAAACAAAGCCTGAAAAACACACCACTGACAAGAATAAAGTTACCCACAATCCTAAAAATAAAGGGTCAAAGATCAGTTACAGACCAACAGTTCAAACAGATGTGATCCTTCCTGCTATAATTAAAAACAAACATATATGTTCAGGGTGCAACAAATAAGTAAAATGCAGTGTCTTACCTCGATCAACAGGCAACAAGCTAGCGCTAACTTTCTAAGTTTTGTCCTCTTCCACATGCTTTTGCTACCCCTGCATGCAAGTAAACTCAAAATACAGACACCAAAGGCCTTTAATAGCTACAGCTGGACTGACGCATTTTGTGTGTTCGTTCTGTGGCCAACACACCCTTCTTATTGGGTGGAACAGGACTTTCTTTTTTCATTTTCCAGGAGGTTTATACACTGCTGGTGGGAGGTGATGTTCGATTGCATGCATATACCATTTCCACTGATGAATACATTGTGTTTTGTTTCATTTTTTAACAGCCTTTACCTTCAGGAATGTTTTAATGAGCACAGAGCTAAATTGCTCTCATCTAAAAAAAAAGAGGTTCATTATATTTTAGCTGAAGCCCTGAGGGTTTTCTTAATGTTCAGTTTGTGCTGTCTCTGCAAATGTCTGCTCTGCTCTTAATTCACTTAATGAACCTAAAAAAGTATTGAGATAGAAACCAAGAAATAATACACATGTTAAACAATATGTGGATAATATAATCTATGTCTATGCACATTTTCAAAACACTGTTTGTGTGGGGGTCATGCAACTGTTTTTTTATGAACAAAGGGATGAAATCATCCAAACCCAAATGAGAAGTCTCCATGAGGTGAGGTTTTACCATATGGCACGGTTTTGGTGCAGAGATTCACTTAACCTTTTACAGAAAGCAGGAGATACGTAGTAATATGGTATTTTCTTTATAAACTGTACCCTGTGTCCTTTTGTGTCCTTCTGTAGTCCATTTACTGTTGTTTGTCTTGTCTTACCCCAGCTGATATTACACTAAATCCACTGTTTTAATTGTTCCCTATATTGCCCCTATGCCCTGTAAGGTGTCCTTGGGTGCTATGAAAGGCGCCCCCCAAAAAAAATGTATTATTAATATGTCGATTTGAGTCCCTGATTTTTCATCGAATTCTTTAGGCACTTAGGTAAATGTATAAATACGTGTTTAAAAGAAAGAGAATCATGAGTCATAACACTTTTCCCTAAGTTAGAAAAAATACACGTGTATGTAAGCTAACACGCAACACTAAGATGGAAAAAAGTCAAATCCATATTCATAAAGCTGAATGTCTGTATTTACCTTATCTTTTAGGGTGTTTTCAACTGAAATCGAATGTTATTTTTATATGTCTGTAGTTAAATATATATTCTTTGCAACCCAAATTGCTGCTATTTTCTTTCTGTTTTTGTTATTATTTTATATAACCTATAATCTTTGCTTGAGCTTAGTTTCAGCTCTCTTTTTGGGGGTCCTTTAAGTTATGTTGGAACTTACATTTATATTAACAAAACCTGCTTATTGAGTTGTTTAATATTAGTGTTTCCATTTGTTCCCTAGTTTTCATGCACATACTGTATAGCGCCTATGCTGCCATTACACAGCATCATAAAACATCAAATAAAGAATACAAAACATAGTGAAACCCTATAATACATTACATTGTCAGCAGACCTGGGGCAGAATGCTGAGTTTATGAGTTTTTACTCTCAGTGTTTTCAGTGTGTTTTGTATCGAGCCAACAACTGCAAGCTATTACTGAGCACAGAGACAAATAAAAGTAAGTAGTGCACCTTCTGTTTTCAGAAACTAAAAGGAGCGTGTTTCCTAACATGCAGGGTAAAGATTTAAAAAATGTTATGTTCCTATGAAAGCCCACCCAGCTGCAAATGAGCTAAAAGCATCAGAAAAGCAGGTTCAGCTGCAGGGTGAAATGTACGGTACATCTGCACTAAATAAAGCCTAACCCACAAACACACACACACACATACACACACATTCAGTAGCAATGGGAACAACCAAGCTGCAAGATTAAGATAGACAGGCTCTAATTTAAAACCACCAAAAAAGAGAAAAGGGACCGAAAATAAATATGGCAGATCTGAGGCAGCCAAACCACCATCGTGCCCTTTCAATTCTGCAGAGATCCATTCAAAACACACAAAGTACACAGATAAGCAGCTGCCATATTGAGCCTGAAATCTCCAGTGTGAAACAGAATGAGAACAACGTTTTAGATTCAAATTGATGCTTTTTGACACTTCATTTTAACCATAATGTAAGAACGTAGTTGTGTTGCCTTATCTATTCCAAATATTGCATTCTTCTCCAACACAAATCATCATATTTTCATAAACCATGTAGTCTCATAACTGCACTGTCAATTTCATCCATTTGTTCATGGATTATATTTGCTTTTAAGTATCACAAATACATATCTGATCAGAATCTAGGATATCAGAATGCTGCAGCTCGTGTGAAACACAAAAAAATGGTGTTTGTTAACTGTGAATAATATAAGATTATGTTGCACGAGGCGTTTAATTTGTGACAAAATGTGACGAAGTAAAAAATAAATGAAAATGTATCCATAATGTTAGTTTCACGGGTTTCACGTGAGTACAGTAGACCGGTGTTAACTGTTGTACATTTACATGTGTCTTGTTATATTGGGTGTTATTTATTGTACCCCCGATAAGATATGTAGTATAGATCATATATGAATGTAAATATATGCAGACAGAGAGGTGGGAAATCAGGTTTCACTCTACAGTTCACATGCTCTGGCTGGTGTTAATGTGCCCTCCAGTCTCTCTGGCTGCAGACCCTCTGGTTAAACATTACTCACATTCCTGGGAGTCCCTCACTCACATGCACACAGTGTACTGTAACCAGGAGGATGTTAATATGAGGGCACAAAAGGAACAGCAGGGGAGATTAAAAGATTACAACGTTCCCATGGCACCAACATGCATGTGGTCAGTTCTTTAAGGCTAGATGTGAAAAATGACTTGTATGTCTTATTATTAATGTTGGAAAACTGAATCAGTGCATACAAACAAAATGTGATAAAAGTGAAAAAGAGGGACTTTTTAGAGACATTTAAGGATTACATTATTTTTTATTTTATTTTTCTTTCATATTTTCTTATGTATATGTGAATACAGCTGTAGGAAAGATGGAAAAAAATACTAGGCAAAATGTGTGAATGTGTTTGTATAAATTGTTGAAATTGATTTTAGCGCATATAGGTTTAAAATAATTATCATTGTATCTGTGCCATTACAAGATATAACGAAAGAAAAAAAGGGGGAAAAAAAAACGAGAAAACTTGTGTTCAACCCCTATTTTATTTGTTTGTGTTTAAATGTTATGTGCATGCCTTTTCTATTAGTGTTTTATTTGTTTGGTCTCTATCTTCACTTTAGCTGTAACAGTGTACATTTCCCCTCTGTGGGACGAATAAAGGTATTTTAATTCTGATTATGGTTCTGTCAATAAAAAAATGCCATTGACATTTCTGAGATACATTGAGCAGTAACTACAACAGTAAAGAATTTCAGGAAAGTAAAAAGAGTGAGGAGTCATACAGCAGGGATGAAATACTGTGAGTTACAGCTGAAGAAGAGAGCGATGGTGTGGTTCGGTGGTTTACTGATCTGCAGACTTAGTTATACATTACATGCATACCAAAGGAGGGGCAGGGCCGAAGGTTTCCTACATAAAACCTAGAGCACTGACTACTTAAGGTTCCTCTCAACCAAAGACAACCAAGGGGACTCTTTTTGGACCGCACAAGCTCCCAGCAAGCAAATTATTTAAGCTTTGTATTCAAATGGGGAGTTAACTTGGTTAAATGTTGGAAATAAAACAGGCCACTCACGCTCTTTAGTCTCCTGTGAAGTTTATTTTTACTCCCTGGTATCTGCAGCAGAAGGTCTGGTTAGACATTAATTCAGCTCTAACAAATGTGTCCTGGGAAATGAGATAGAGAGCAACATCAAATCAACAAGGTATAAAGGTGAATTAAAGCTTAATCTTACCATACAAATTATATTCACCAAGCCATGTTATTTTCTTATTTAGATGAAAGTTCAAATGTTTGAGTTAATAAGGATATTTTCTTTTCTTTTCACGTTTGATACCTTTAGTATATTTTGATGCCAATACTGAGGTAACATCAAAGTTAAATATCTGATTACTTCTGAGAGGTCACGCAATGTGAAAGGTTAGGTCGAGGGGA